ATGCAGCATATGTACGCAGTCCCTAACGTCGATAATTTCGCCGGACCCACACTCCGCGCATCGGAGTCGGTGCCTCCAATGTACATTGATGCTCCTCCCCGCCTTGCTCGGCCGCCGCCCGTCCTCCACCGCCCATGCTCGCACTTGCCCTCGCTCCCTTCACACTCTTTCATCCGCCTCACCCTTCTGATGACCTCGGACCGACACCATGTCCAGCATCTGGCTCTCCGCTCACGGATGCCGAGACGCTATAGCGATACACCACATCTCGTGCATCTCGGGGCGCTTTTGGTCTTACATCCCAATTCCGTCTTTATCCCGCGCTAGCTCAGTCCTTGCCTCTGTCCGATGCGGGTGTATAGTACATATCGATGTTACCTGTGGATGAGCTTGTACCCACACGTGCTCCTCTTTTATTCTCCAGCAGCGTCTTCAGCCTCCGCTTCCGACCCCGTGCGTGCCATCGCCCCCCGCCCGCCATGATACCTGCCCACTAAGATCCAGGAGGCACATACACATTGCCGCCGCGGATCCCCGCGCAACTTTGTGTGGCCGCTGCCAGATGCGCCCGCGGTGGAGACGGGGCGGGAGACAACGCGGTTTATCAACACGTTTCTGAGGACTTGGCGCACCACTGCCCTTCAAGCCGCACGTGTTCTGGGGAGGACAGGAGGGGCACGCCTGGGCAGGCAACGAGTCAGACGCGAGACTGGGGCGGTCGCGTGAAGTACGGCGAGGCAAACCCGCACAGCAAATGTGCTGTACTTGTGCGGCTGCAAAAGGGGTGATTTAATCGGGTGTGGTGTATGATGCACCACTGCAGTGTCTCAGGAATCACTTGAGTAGATGCAGTAAGACGGGGTTCGATTCCCCGCACCTGAATATCAAGGAAATCAATCCTTTTGTTATACAGTCGCCTCTGTCTTAACCCATACCCCTCGGTGGACTCTAAGACCTATGGGTTATTGCAGAGTATGGTTGCGACAGAGGTCATGTGACCATTAAGCCAATTAAAATGAATGAAATATTTTCAAAAAAAGTTGGTTAAAGTGGAACATAATATATGCACACAGCCTTTGAAACTTCGGAAACCAATATTTGAGCTCCACGGGTGGGGCGTACGGTGCACACCACTGCGGTGCTTCAGGGATTCTTTGCGATTTCAAGTTGACTTTAAAGCATTGCAGGAAAGTAACCCAAGCCAGGAGGGATATTATCAGAGACTGCCTTCTCGGCCCCCTTAGTACTTTTGGCCTCAAGCTCACATGGTAAGTCGAGAGGGTCTGAATATTTTGGCTTTCAGATGAAGGTATGGACCCTAGGAATGAGTGACAATATTTTCTCGAATTTACGCCCCAACTTCATCGCTCTTTGAATTTATTTTCGGCGGCATCCCCGAAATGGCAATAAACGGCCTAGTCGGCCACGCAGCCAAATCGTGAGCTTGCGCCGCTTCTATCCACCCCGCTGCATCCCAAATGGTTCAAGACATATAAATGAATGGTTCTAGACATATAAACCGTACATCTGAGGTGTATGGATAATAATACGAGCTCCCGTTCAAGCGAGGTGGGGCCCTAAAAGGGCTGTGAGAGCAGGATGGCAGGCCCTGTGAGATATAGACCACATCCAGGGCACAAATTATGATCCATATGCCTTCATAGGAAGTGTTTGAACATACCGAGTTGCACACAACATTTCCCACCCACACGCAACCCCTCTAAAAAAGTTCATCTACATGTGCAACGAAAATCCGATGGCTTTGGGCAGTAGCCCACTGCGACCGGGAACCTGTGCAGTCAAGACCCCAGTACTTTGGGAGTACATAGAGTCAGGTATGTTCAATGCATTAACCAAATTATAGGCTGGTAGCAAGCATAGCTGGTTTGCTAGAGAGTGGGCCGGAGTGCGCCACCCAGAGACTGCTTGAGGTCTTCATGGAGCGCATTGAGAGCGGAAACGATCCTCGCTCGCGAATGCGCTACAACGATATCATCCCCCTGAATCTAGGGATGAGTTTGAGCCTATAAACTTATGAATCGGTGGGGAATTGGTGGAGAAACAAGGAAGAGATGAGCGCAAAGGCTGTCCGGAAATAAGAAATGATGTTCGCATGCCGGCATCTTGGTCCAAGGCTTCCCACAACTTTTGATCGCCGTGTCCGTTTGGGTCACTAATCCTCAAGATTTTACACTACACGACCTGATATTATGCAAGTGGCCGACTAGGTCGTTCGGCCGACTAGGCAGTCGCTGATAATACGGGAAAGTATGTGGCCGCTTTCATGAATTCCCTCCAAAAGCAGGGCAAATCTCTGGCGTTTGGACAGGCCACAAAGAAGTGGTCTGATCGGGTGTGGTGTACGGCGCATCACTGCGCAATCTGATGATGCTCATGAGAGTAAACATGGTGAGACAGGGTTCGATTCCCTGTACCCGAATAGGTTGAACAAAGCTGAATATCTCTTTCTCCCTTCGCAGGGAGCAGAGGTAAGAACCATCGCAGGCTTGAAATGAATCTTACCTGCAGTCCGGTTTCGTGAATGAGTGTAAATGAATAGATACCGATCTCTGAGTCCCAAGACAATTTGCAGTTGGATTCGGATGTTTAACACATTAGCTGGAATACGGTTCGAGATTTAGGTGGATAACCAGTCTACTGCAATAAGATCTTTCTGCGCCCCTGGCTCTCATGCTTGGGACACAAAAAATCCCTTTCAAGCGGGGGAACCAACCCAAGACTGTCAATACACTGTCGGGAAAGTATTTCGTTAAGCCCACGTAAAATTGTTAGATTCGGATTCAGGTTCACATACAGAGAAATGAATCGGGTGTGGCACACCTGCGCTCTCTTGAAATAAAAAACATTTTTGGGGTGAGACGGAGTCCCCGCACCTGAATGCTGTTCTTCCTAAGCTTTTTGTTCATCCCCTCATTGTTGCCACCCCGCGAACATTGCCAGTGCGTCGCTCAGTGGATAGAATAATGAGCTGTTTGCAGCAACAAGCCCGTAATTCCATTTTCTGAGAGGGCGAATAATATTCTGCAGGAGTGATAATTCCGCGAATAGAGGATGTACGCCAAAGAACACTTCCGAATGAACGGCAATGTGTCTGTGGAGGATCGGGACAAGTGCACACACATGCACCAATTTTTCTTGTTTAAGACTCATCACCCTTTTTCCGTGGTGGAGGGTACCAAGTATGCCAGGTTGCTGCTGTACATATCGCGACCGCAGGAAGCCGCGTCCTAATAAAAACGATCTACCACCGCATTCCTTTTTCCTCCCGCCGGACAAAACTTACATGTTCTATTGTAGGGCACAGCACCATTTTTCTTAGTTCTCTTCCAGACTAAATTACGTTCAAAATAGAAAGCACAGCGCATCGAAGGCTCCCAGGAAGTTAAATTATGTCATGATGGGTGTGAGAACCGAGATAACGGAACATTGGGGGTGGCGGCCGGGGACGGGAAAAGAAAGGCGCAAATTCGGAGGCCAACAAACAAGCGCAATGCGCCGTGATCTGTCTTTCAAGTTGCCTTCCGATCAACACTGGTCGTGCCACGTACACCCATGTTGCAAAAACAAAACAAGCTCGCTGCCTTTGAGACCGCCGCCACTGCAGGCCATGCCGTGGGTGCGTTCGTTCTCTCCCCTTCCTGTCGAGCTCCCTTAATTTCCAGAACAGCTCTCGGCAATCCCACCCTGGCGGACCCAGGTCCTCCTTCCGCACTTGACGAAGCACGCAAGCGTGGGCTGTCACGCACGGCGGCGACGTTGCTCCCGACGTCGGCACAACACACTTCGTCGTTGACGCAGATCCGCAAGATCCTGCCAGTGGTGCCGTGTTCGCCATCTTTTACAAACGCAATGCCTTTCTGCCGGACTGCGCGGAGGACAAGGCCCTCGACCACAACGAAGATGGCATGTCGCAAGGCCTGCCGCAAGGGGTCGCCAATTAGATGCGCCAGGAAAAGAAAAGACAGAAAAAACGGACTGACTGACCTCCGCTGTCAACAGATTCTTGACAAACTGCAGTGCGGGTCGAACCCGCTGACCAAGGTGCAATTCGGGACCGCTAGCGACGGGTCCTACGATCTCCAGTTAGCCACAGCATCTCACTATCGAGGTCTGGATCTCGAGAGATGGCTGGTTCTCCCGGACACTCCTACATTCCCGCACATCAACCTGTCCTCGCTCCGCCCCGCCCACAGAGTAATTAGCAGCGTCCCTGTTGTAGTGACCCCCCATGGTCCTGCCGTAAAACGTTGGATTTTGGGAGCCTGAGGGAGGTCGAATCTCTTTTCCACCTTCCCGAGGTCGACTTCCTCTTGCGGCCAACTCACTTCGTCGTCGATGATCGTCCCCGTGTGCGCGGACTCCTAGTCCCTTACCATCCCGCCTCGTCCTTGTCCCTGACGCTCGACCGCCTTCACCCTGGTGCTGATCCACCCGTCCTACCGCCGTCTGTAGCCGCCGCCGTAGCGTGGCTGCACGAACAGCAGAAGTTCTGGGGTGATCTTAAGTTAGAGAACATCGTGGTTTGCTGGGATGGGCACTGTCGCCTCATCGCCTACGCCCCCTTACTGGTTGCGAAACTTCGCTGCCGAATGCGTATAGGACGCGCCCAACAAGCGTCCCTGCGCTCGGGACGTCTACGACACCATTCTTGAGAAAAGGTGGCCCCTCGAGCAATGAACATATGGAGCTTGCTCTCTTGTCCATTCCGTCTACATACATACAAACCAATGATACTCCAAGCCCTTGGACTTTAAAAAGGCAGCAGTGCACCTACACCACACCCGATTATTTCTTCTGGTTACTAACAACAATTTGGCAGCATCGTAGCAATTTCTCTCCCGCACACTCACGATTGAATGTTCGCAAATTCATTATATTATTGTATTTTTGTGTTCAAGTTCAGTTGAGGTACCACATCTCCCAGATGTGCACGTCGTACGACCGAAAAAGAAAAAAAATGCACAGATTGCTCCAACCCATTCGGGTGCGGGGAGTCGAACCCCGTCGGCCTGCTCATTTTGAACGACACACTGAGAAAGCGCAGGCGTGCGCCATACACCACACCCGATTAACTCGCTGGATGTTAACCTCCATCCGAGTCCAACTAATTTCTATTTCATTTTGTGACGGCAATGAGTTATTGGTCCTTGCCTTCACGCCAATTAATTTGCTCGCTTGATCAAATGATCCCCCTCGACGGAGTCTGTGTGTGAGAAAAACTAGCGAACTTTGGCATTCGCTGAGCTGGAAGAGATAGAAAGAGAAAAAAAGATGGTAGAGAAAATTGATTCGGGCGCGGGGAACCGTGCCCCGTCCAGATGCCTTCAAAGTAGAACCTTCTGAATCCCTTCAAGGAAAGCACACCAGATTCGTTACCTTTATGTTAAACCGTATTCGAGAGTAGAACCATTTTCCAGAAATATTTTATCGCGACGAATTATTGGGCACACCAATTACTTTGCTCGCTTAAAAAAATGGGAGGGCGAGAACAGTGGACTGTCGACTCCCTTGAAATCGATGAACTACAAAAAATCGGCTAAGTCACTACTCATTCGGGTGCGGGGAATCGAACCCCGTCGGCTTGCTTTGGCAGAACATCTCTCCGTTGACATAAAGCGCAAGTGTGCGCCATACACCACACCCGATTATTCGGTGGTATGGTGGCCTTCATTTGAGGCGTCCTTCCTTCCAGCCGAGGTTGAAACGCGGCGATGCCCATTGCCGGGTGCGGTCGGAACACATCTCGGAACGACCAAGCCCAACCAAACACGCACCTAGTCTCCTCCCCGCCGCGCCGCCGCGGCACCCACTCTTCACTCTATCTGCCTACGAACCATGATACCCGCAAACTATTCCAGGGTCCTTCTTGCTCCCCTAGCGCATGGCCAGTTGAACGTCCGGGAAGAATGATTTGACAAGGACGAAAGATTCAATATCATGCAAGATATCATGCACTGGTCTTGCTTGTGCCGACAGATGGAGTGACCGTGCAAGGCTCACGCACGGCGCCAGACATCTCATGTTTCTCAGATTTTGGAAAGCAGGTCAAAGGTGTGTGCTCCGCGTCGTTCCGTAGTGTCTTGACCCTTCCTTGCGCTGGTGCCCGACAGCATGTTTCAAGGAGGACCGTATTTGTGTACACGGTCAAATGCGTCGCCCTCGTAGCTGATGATGTAGGCCAGAGGTGCTTCCGCGTATCGGATACGCCCACGCGAAGCCACCCGGGACGTTGCACACCCAACGCCGCGCCGCTGATCGAGCACCCAACTTCGGCGTCGACTGGGCAGGGAGAGGGATGGCCGAGGCACGGAAGGGAAAGAGCGTGCGGACGGGCACGGGGGCTCGACCATCCGTCCGCCTCTGCTTCGATTGTGTCTCGCTCGCCTCTCGGCGCTTGGGTGTCCCCCATGCGCCCATCCTCTTGCACGAAGATACCCAGCGCACTCGATACTCTTCCTTCGCGCCCGCGATGTCTGGCTGAGTTCGTCCTGTGCGCGGCTGTGATGCGTGCCCCGGACCACCATACTCCCCGTTTCGCTGCGCTTCCCATTTGCGCAGGCGGAGGCGTCGACGGCAGGGAAGATGAGGGACGGATGTAAGATGCGGCAGGCGAGAGAACCTCCGCTTCGCGCCCCCGCCCCACCCACGCACAGCGCGGGAAGATCCACGTCGCACTTCTCTCCTCTCCGTCGACGATTCTTCCCGTGCAAGGTGGACGCGGTCCGGGACGGCTGTGGATGCTGGGCGGGGTCCCGGTGGTATACGCATAGAGCCGGCACGGCGCAGACGTCTGCGGGAGCACGAGTGGGACCACCCACTCGCTGTGCGGTTGGCGCAACGCGTAAGGCTGTGGATTGGTTGCGCAGGCGGGTATCTACCTCCAGTCCATAGTGCTTGTCTTCGCTACATATTCCCGTATCGCCATTCTTCTATCCTCATCTCTTTCTCCTGACAGTGGTGTTCTCTTTGTGGGGGGCACGTTTCTGCCCTAGCGACGAGGGATCGGGATGGGTGTGGCGGAAATATGCCCCAAATCGGGAATGAGCATTACTATTTTGGGGATGGAGTTCCTTGGCCCCTCTTCTCACTGTTTCCCTCCTTGTCTGTTTTTTTCTGTTTCGCTTTTTCTTCTTCCCTCCCCCTGCACAACCTTGATGCTGATCATGATTTACAGGACGACGGACTAGATGGGATACATAAGATAGTAAGAATGCATTTCTTCGTCCATTGGTCGCAATCTCCCCGAATTCATGTGATTTCATTGGTGGCCAGTCTTAACGAGTTGTATCGTTACGTGTGTCCTCTAAATCGAAGTGATATTGCGCAGTCCTTAAATATTCATCCACCCACAATCGGCTTGATCCCCAGGTCGTCTGTAATAGGCTCATCGACTGTAAGTGTCTTGCACCATGTATGCCTTGCAGGCCCGAGGGACATGCGAATTTGAGTCGATTGACCGAGCCGCATCAAATGTCACTGAGTATGGAGGCTCTGCGCTGCTGCAGCTGGCTTCCATCTGTGACCAAGACCACCATGGTGGACTCGTCGACCTGCCACAAGAACTCATCGCTGCCATAGCCTCCGAGATCAAGGATGCGAAGTCCCTCCAGAAATTCCCTCTCACTGCCTCTACTCTACCTTTCTCGAGACGTGCCAGCATATCCTCTTCAGAGTGGTGAAGCTGAAGGGTTACTACATCAAAGAGTACCAGAAGCTGCACGATCTGTTGATGGAATCCCCACATATAGCTGGGTACATCCAGAAATTTCACTTGCAATATTGGCAGCGCGCCGGGTTTCCTATGGTTCAAAATTTACGGCAAACTATTAAATGTGCGGGCCTTCACATTCAAAGCCAAGCGCCACGCCAATTGGGTGGGTGTTGTTCCTGCTGCCCCCGCTATTATCGAATATATTCAGCGGCCGAACGTCACGCAGCTCCACATTGCAAGGGGCGGGGTCCCCCTCGACGTACTGCAGTTGCTCCTCTTCTCTGTTCAGGGCCTGTCATTCCCCAAAGTGGACTTTCTGCGTAGCGACGGAAACGATTCAATCACGAAAGGGCGCACCGCCGGGCGGGCCGCTCGAAATGAAGCCGGGTACCATTTTTATCATTTTTTGGTACTGTGCTTTTGTGAGGTTCAAAATCATGGCCTCAAAATAGTCGAATTGAATGCAATCGGAAGAACTGCGACGCGCCGCGGTTCGCCCGATAACGTGACCGTTACTGAGCCCAACACGTGGCCAGATGCCACGTAATCTTGCCTCAGTCTTTCACCAGTCACCTACAGTTGTCCTACACCGTCGAGTTGAGAAGACAGGTCCCCAAGACAAGATACAATGTGGTTAGATTCACTTTGAGCGTTTTCCGTCACTGATACTGCCCACGAATCCTAGTACGAATGCATCCGAGTCTACGCCTAGCCGGAATCTCTGTCTTGCCGGCATCAATCCGGGTGAAGCTCATTTTTTCTGCCTTTCAATTTGTATCTGAGGTTTATCGAAGAGAACGGCTACCTCCGCGGCTCGTGGCTCGCTCGAAGATCTGGAGAAGCTTCGCTCCATGATCGAGGATGGATCTGGCTCTTCGGCACTTTTGGCTGTCTTCTATATTCATTTGAACCCAGCTAGAATCCCCCCTGCAGATGCAGATTTCTCGAACGGGAATGATGTTGTAGGCCGCGCCTGGGTCTCTCTGCTATCAATCTACCGCCTGGCCGACATCTCTGTCGAAGCGTTCCTTGATTTGTGGCCCAATTTATGGAAATGGGCGCATTTTTTTCAAATGAACTGCGATCGCATCTTCACAGAGGAACAGGATGACCTCGAGGGTGGAATCTGCCTCTCGTTCATCTCTTTCCTCGGTAGGCTTCCTCTTTCCGACGCGGCGATCGAAATGATACTGGCCACCCCCAAAGCGGTGTATGCAATCGCCAGGGCCTGGCGCTGTCGCGTCAAAGACGATGATCCTGATCTATCTGACGGGTATCCTGCCATCGCACGGCTCCTCTTAGAAAATACGGGCAGCCTGATGACGACGACGATTCAGGAAGTCGTAGACGGTGCTGGCGGCACGCACACAGATCTGGCATCACTTATCGTGTCTCATATCGACGCCATACTCCCTGGTCACACCGATTTCATGACTGCCAAACAACTCTATCTGCTCTTCAACATCGTCGACTTTATAACGACCGTGGACGATTCAATGGGGGGTCGCACATTCTCTCTTTATCGACAAGCCTTGGGAGCGTTCGGTGTAACCCTACTACCGTACGGGATTACTAGGGCACTCACAAACGTGGCATATGGCCTTATCCACCAGAACGAGATGCAGGGCATTGATACTCTTCTCCGGAAGTCTTTGATCCTTCTGATTCGTATACTCGAAGACTCGCGCGGCTATATGTTCGTCAGGGAGGCCTTCGAAGCCGGTCTACTGGTCACCATCGCGTCATGTGCCGCACTTGGCCTCGAGAACGCATCGAGCAGAATCCTCCTAGAGCAGATCTTACCGATGTCGATGGTCTATTACTACGATGTCCAATGCCTCGAGCCGGCCTTCCTACAAGCTGACCCGATCATTCACTGCGGACCGTTCCAAGCGTGCCAACTTGTGGACACGTGGCGCACCTTTACGACCCTAGCGCGTGAACGAATCGCGCTTGTCCATTCAGTGGCGGCCTCGCAACGTCGTCGAGCTTGCGACAATGTCAAGGTGTGTTGCATTCTTATTTTATTCACTTGGACGCATTGTTAAAACTTGGGGTCGAACAGTGTGGGCACATACTCGAGAAAACGGATTTCCAGCGCTGTAGCAGGTGTCTCAGTTTCTATTACTGCTCACGGGAATGTCAACGAATTGATTGGCGTGCGGGCGACCATCGCAAAGTCTGTGTCCCGGGCCACTCCTTCCATTTGGGTAAGCAGCCGATATGTTGTTTCGGGGCCCCCCTCATCTGTTATGAATATAGGTGAAGGTGTGGTGCAAGATCTCCGTGTTCGGGAACGATCTTTCATGCGCGCAGTCCTAGCGCATGATTACGAGACACAGAAATGGACGACAGTATATCCACAGCGGGTCGCGTTCATGGCGGCTAACCCCGGCGTCCCGTACTTCACCCTGTTCGACTATCGACACGGTAAGGTCAATATCTCTGTGCACGCGACCTCGGCGCCGCATGGAGGCGCCCCTGATTGGGATCCCTTCGCGGGTGCCGCTTGTTGGGACGAGGGGATTGCATCCTCTCTCGAGTGGCGCAACGATATTGCCCGTGCTTCCAATAGTGGTGGTAAACTCCAGCTTCATGTCATGGCTATCGCGAGGGGCGCCCGCACCCGGTACATAGTGGCCCCTCTCCGCACAAATAATGCGCAAATACATGGCATCTTGGCGCAAATTGCAGGTCTTTCCCCACGCTCTCGCGATATTCCGGAGCTTCTCCGTGGTGTCGAACTGTCTGGTGTGCAGGATTCGGAGTCTGTGGAGATCTACTAGCGCACTCCTACAACGACTGTACTCAGTAATTTGAAGTTTCGACCAGACTGTCTTTCAATCAATTGATCCATTCCACCACGCCTTCAACCTTCAACGCCCGCACCCTCTCATTGATCTCCTCAATGAACCGTTCCCTGACTGGTGGCTT